GCATTGGCGGTGGGCAGGTGCGGGAACCAGCGGGAGCACGGAGCCTGCACCAGTGTCCCGGGGCCAGTGCCGGCGGGGCCCAGAGCACGATGGCAGGAGCACGGGGTCCCAGTTGGCAGGGTCTCTATGGAGCTGGGTCAGCTCCCCCCTCTCCCTGCTGGTGCAGCCCAGTTCGGCTCCACAGACCCCTGCCAGCCTGTGCCCCGTTTTGGACCCCACCAGTGCTGGCCCTGGGACATTGGTCCCAAGACATTGGGACACTAGTCCCAAGATGGTGACCAGGGGGCGGGGCACCTGTCAAGGGGCAGGGCTATCCAGCCTGCCAAAACTGGTTAAGTGGCCCTCCGTCCGAAATAATTGCCCACCCCTGGGTTAAGGTCTGGTCTCATTGTGATTCCACATTTATGGGATTTCTTTAGTAAAAAGGCTGGGGTGGGGTGGGGTGGGGTGGGGTGGAGCAGGGTTGGTTACCTGGCTGCAGGGAGGGCAAGGAATTACTGTGACTTGGAGCTGTTGGGGTTGGGTAGTCTTTTCTCTCTTCCTGAAAGGTGGGTGAAAAACCTGTTTCTGAACCCGAGCTGGGTGGAACCAGATTGGAGTTATGACAGAGTAAGAATAACTTGTTTTAAGCCTCTGGGGCCCTACTATTGTTTCCTGGGAGGCAAGGAGGGCGTGGGAGGGGGAAAGGAGGGACAGAGAGAGCCCTAAGGCCATGCAAACTGCAGCTGCACTGGGTGTTCCAGAGAAGCAGGAGCCCTGGGAGTGGCTGCAATAAAGTAATAATAAAAAGACATTGCCCTGCAGGATAAGCTATTTTATGAGGCTCTGAAAGCACTTGAAAGTTGAAATGATTTAATTCCCCGTGAGGAAGAGAAGCACCAGCCCCATTCAGCAGATTGAGAAAGAGGCATAGGGCTGTAGTAAGTTACCCAAGGTCACACACATCAGTGGCAGAGCTTGGAACAGAGTACAAGCTGTGACCATTAGACCTCTGCTCTAGTCTAGTCACTCCTCACTATGTGTCCTGCTTTGAAGCTGGAGATGAGGAAGGAGTAAGAATGGCAAGAACAGCAGTGAAGAGAGAGGAAAGGAAAGCAGAGCATCAGTCCTTGCCTTAAAATGTCAGGATGACTTCAAAGGTGGCCAGGTGTGTGCAATGCCTGCCTGGCAATAGGCATAGTGCTTGCAAAACAGCAGTGACTCAGCACCAAGCTCTTCCAGGAAGTGCCCCAAAGTGAGAAAAGACACTGGGCTTTCACTCCAGTTGTTGTCAGGTGTACTGGACAGAGAGGAGGCTATGAGATGGCCTACATATGCCAGTCCATCAGGGGCCTTGGTTACTGCCTCCTTCAAGCCTGGGAGTATTGCCAGCACCACCTGCCCCAGATTACCCCTTTCTTGAGTATCTTGGGGGGTAATTATCTAAGTCACCACACATGGGTCAAGCATTACTTCCCTCCAAGATGCATCCTGCCACTTGGGGCACAGAGCTGTGATTTCTCCTCATTTTAGGCAATTGTCAGCCCTTGGACAGAGTCTGTACAGTCATCTCAAGAAGACATTAGTGATTTCTTTTTTCCTCTATATGTTACATTCACCTATAGGATTAATCTCAGTCTGGCATGAGCAACAGGACCCAGAGCTTGCTTTCCTGTGCTGCAGCTTACCCAGATTCTCTTTAGCAGCAGAGTAATTAGTGCTCCCCACAGCTGGTACTCCAGGGCAGCATGACTCTTCACTTTCCCCTCCTAGCCTTCTTTCTTTCTATCCTCTAGATCGCAGAGTCCTCTACTCACATTTACCTCCCTCCATTTCTCCCTCTTCCTGGAGTGAGCTTGTGTAGATGCCTCTGGTTGAAATGATCAAAGTCTGGTTTTGGGCTCAGCCCTTCTTTAATGACTCAGTGGGCATACCCACACATGCAGGCACATGTGCTTGCAGCAGCTCAAATAAGAGCGGCACAAATTTGTGCTGGGGATTTTTGCTTCAGCACAGATGCCTGAACATGCACTTTGGTGTGGGGCAAATGGTGCCACTTGGGGCAAAATAACCCTGCCCAGCTCCTCCTGGATCTTCAGCCAGGGGGAGCTATAGGCCACAGGTGCTGGCCCCAGCAGTATAAAAACCTGCAATGATAAGCAGCTCAGAGCTACTTGCCCTCAGGAGCTTTAGAGGTCCCTCTCTGGCAAACTTCTTTTCACATTTTGAACCTATAACACCCACATCACTCCTACCCTTTTCTTCTTTAGTTGTCCCACAAAAAAAAAAAAAAACAAACAAACTTGTATCTTTCAAACTTTGGCCCCACAGTAGTGGGGGCTGTTAGGTAACTAGGTGGGCCTTAAGGCCCACGATCTCTGGAAGATACAAATAGACAGGAGCTTCAGAGGCCCTGCCACTTTGTATCTGGCAACACTACCCGTTGTACCAGCTGGACTGCTGAAGCAGCTCTAACCTGGAATAGCCCCTGTACCCTCTACCCACTGCAGCAGTTTGGCAGTGGGGGCTGCTGCTTGGCTGTAACCTGCTGCCACCTGTGATATCATCCCTACTCTTGGACCTGTGGCCCCATGGCTACACGTCTGCCAGACCTGGACAGGGACTACACAGTTGCCTAGGCTGTGGCATGGTCACTACAGCAGAGCCTCCTGCAACTCTGGGCCAGCTGCTAGTGGACCATGGCTACACATCTGGTCATTGGGCAGCACTACTGTCATGTCTCCTGGTGCCCCCACTGCCATCTGGGCAGCTATCACCCAGAAGATGTGCTCCTTGCAGTGGCCCACTTTGAACTGACAAAGCATGAACTCTTGGCCCCAAGTGTCCAAGAGGTCAGCTACCACATCTACCCTCCAGCTGGCTCCCTAGTGCTGGCTCTGGACAGGCTCCTTTGCCCAGGTCTTGCCATGTGTCTCACCAGTAGAGATCCTGGTGTTCCCTGTTTAAAAATTACAGATTCTCTGATAGGAAATCCAAATTCTCTCATTAAAATACCCAAAATCTGTGTTCGTTCACTAGTAAAATGAAATGCCACTATAGAGAGATCCACTGGGCAATGTTTTATTGATATATTTACAAGTTTAAAGCGACTTGGAAGCCTACCACTGTCTCTATCATCATAATAAAATAAATTCTAAATATCTATACACTTTGGCACTTACTTTTGGGTTTTTTGTCATAGAAAAATCAGAGCTGCCCCTTTGCTCACCAGGATGTGTGGCATTGAGCAGTATTGATACACCAGTGCCCTGCCCCCTCACTCTCAATCCACAGCCCTCCCTGCTGCCAGTCCACTCACTTCTGACCCACAGCCCCTGCCTGCCCCCACTAGCTCCCTCCCAGCATCAGCTCTGTCCCAGCACCAGGATGAGTCCAGCTGCAGCTGTCCCTCCCACTGCTTTGTGGCTCTGAGCAGTGCCAGCCCTTGCTGTTCTGCTCCCTGTCCCTGGGAAGCCCTTGACTGGGGATCAGGGACTGAGCTGGCCCCTTTGCTCCCAGGATGGCCTTTCCCTGCATAGGCTGCTTTAGTGGGGCAGGAGGGGCTCGAAGCCTGGCTCTGGCAGCCTCTCCTACCCAGACCACTCCCCACACCACCTCCGTCTCTCTCTCACACACCCCTGTTGCCACCTCCACCCCTCCTACCAGCACATCACTCCCACAAGTGATTCCCGGGACCAGGACCCCCTCCCAGCTGGGGCCACATGTCCCAGCACTGGTGTGTAGCAGTTGCCCCTGCAGCAGCAGCTCCCATCAGCAGGTCCTGTCCCATCTCAAGTGGCTGGCTGGGAATGCAGGGTGTGAGATTTGGTGGGGGGGATGTGGGGTTTGGGCAGGGGGAAGGGATGTGGGTGTGTGTAGGGATGTGCAGGGCCAGGTGTAGATGCACCCAGTGTCACTTGCTGGATTCTAGCATTCCAGCCAAGTAGGGAGCAAAACATGCCCCCTTAACAATTCCCACACTGTGTTGCAGGGGGAGACAGGCTGACCCTGAGCAGTCTGGGCCCTCTAATTAGGAATGTCCTGTGCATTGCTGCCATCTGTCTCTGGACAGACTGAGGGAGCCTACAGAGCTTGGTGAGATGTGTGCACGGAGGACCCCTGGCTGTGTAGCATCAGCACTGTAAGCTCTTTGCTCTTCAGGGGTGTCTCTTCAGGCATCTCTGGGCAAATTTTTCTACCAGGAGTTGAATTCTCCCAGAATATTTGTATGCAGCCTAAACCATTTAAGCTAAGTATCTGTCTAACTAGCTCTTGAAAATATCCTGAGTTCTTGGAACCAAGGGTTGCATTTTTCCTTGATCAAGCAAAATTGCCTACACTGGTTTGTTTCTTTCTTTTTGCAGCACTGGCAACTGCTCGTGGTTCCACTGTAACTGCACCTGACAAGGAAGTAAAGGTGGCACGAGGGCATAATGTCACTCTCAGATGTGAATTCCAGGCCACTGGTACTACTGAAAGTGGAGACTTTGTTTACTGGAAGAAAACCCAGATAATGGTAAATTGCAACGTGTAAAACCGATCACTCAGTCCTCAGGGGAGTGGGAAGGGAGGTCTTAGTTCTAGGTCCAAGTCTGCACAGACTCACTGAGTGATCTCAG